TTTTTCTTTAAACAGTATACTACAATGAGTAGAAATAAGTACTTTAAACCATAGACCCTCTAAAAAGGGTCTATGTTTAAACCAATAAAATAATACTTGATAAATGTTTCTAGTAGAGCATCAACTACAATTTATTATGCTTGCATTCTCTATCTTTTATTTACAAGTTATATTTTTTTCTGAATATTAAAAAGGTTTAAGAAAATTGTTCATAATTGGAGGAGTAGTTTCAAAAATACTTCAGTGGTAGCAATTTTGTCAATTCAGTAATTTCACCACAATTGTATATTACAAACACAAGTATATTTCAAAATATTTTATTTTACTCAGCAGAGATGTAAAACAATTTGATGCAAATTAAATTTAGAGCATTATAGTAATGAAGTGTTGAAATGAGTTCACACTAGAATTTAGCAATCTATTCACGCCTGTAATGTATAGAAAAGCTGGTGAAACTTTCCCTATTGTCAGCTGCTGTCTTTTTCTAAAGATCCACCTCTTAAAATCAACACCTCCTGAGAACAAAACCATAATTTAAACTGTTTTCTTTCAATTAAAACACAGACAGGGAAAGGCAGGCATTTTTGTCGGCTCATACAACCTGTTGCAATTTGGAGACAAGAACAGCTGCTGCAGGCCTGTCTTTACTATTACAACAATGACAAACATAAACATACTAGTAGTTGAATTATTATTTCTCCACTCACTCAGTGCCCACATATTTCATTTAGAGATACTGTCCTTACTTTTACATATGGATCAGCTGCCTTTCCACTGAGATCTTTAGGAACCAATTCCTTTGCACAAACAACTTTCACTAGAAGTAAATTCTTCTGTTGGTCATACTTAAATGACAATTTTATCTCCCCTCTCACATCACCCACCGTCTTCATTACTGTCGGATCCATGCCTTTGAATAATTGCTTTAACAAGTACATACTTTGCTGAAATATATATAAAAAATCAATTACAGAAACAAATAACATAAATTACTTTTATAAAATGCGTTTACGTAGTATTTGTACTTTGTTTATTCTTCACAACATGAAACTAAAACCAAAGACAACGTAGACTGCATGTTTACACACCTTTTTGTATTCGTACTTTTCGTCTTCTTCGTCTAGCATTTTAAGCAATGGGTGCATGTTTTTCGGTCGTTTTTTCTGCGGCCTTGCAACCATTAACCTGGCCATTCCTTGGACACGGTTCGGGTCTGATCCATGTTGTTCAGTTGGTGTTTTGGAAGCACTTGTTCCCATATCGGTTACCGGTATAATGATTGGCTTTCAAGAAGCCCAGTCCCCTAAGTCAGTGAAAGAATTCTTTGGAAATACAGATGCCCCGAAAAACAAATTTAACGTACAATCGGAAAATGTCAGTGTTGAAATTTTAAATTAAAATGGTACCCAGCTCGATTTACATTCCATGCGGGTTATATAGTAGATAAGTTGGACATTCCGTGAGAAAATCGCTTCTCACCTCACACTCAACAACATTGCTGGAAACAACAGTTTCTGACGTCACTATTCGCAAAAATGAGGCCACCTAGCAAATCTTTTTTTACGTATAATTGTTTTTCCGCTAGCTTAATTTGTGGTGTTACAGTTTAAACATCTGCCCATTTTACGTATATAAAGAAAACTTATTGTGTTTTCTCTGAAAACAAAAAAATAACCCATAGTGTTAATATGTGTATAAATGATAATATTTATTTATCGTAGTAAGCTAGGGTGTCAAGTGAGCTTGGTCACGTGGGCTAACCCTTTTCTCGGCCATTTTGATCGGTTTTGGCCATTGTGTACCGAGGCTTCAACAGACTTACGTATTTTCGACCATACGATCAACTGGGTAACTTCACTTTTGGTTGTTCCCAACAGTCAAGATGGGAAGTAAGTATTATGGCAACTAATTTCGAACATTTATCACGCGAATTTTAATCTACGAACTTGCCTGTTTCGTTTCCGCCCTGGGTATTCTCAAGCGTCGCCGGAAAGAGCCACGTCTACCGTATGGGTTGTATGACGAAACATTACATCAAGTGTACTTATATCTAGTATTCTACGTTTTTTTCTTGTTTTGCAGTTAAATTTTTAGAAATCATCAAACCATTCTGTGCTATATTGCCAGAAGTTCAAAAGCCAGAGCGAAAGGTAATATCCCGTTTTAATATTTGCATTTTGTCTTGAGATGATCCATTCAATTCAAATTAGGTAGCTTGACCCCGAGCTTTTGCCTATCAACGGAGAATGCGATCATAGTTTTTATGTCCTTGAACCGCGTTATATTGTATATCAGTTGTTGTTTCCAGTTCGCGTTTATATCCGAGATCCCCGGCTGTTAAAAAGCCATTGTTATGTGCGAGTGATACAAGATGTGTTCTGTTCCTGAGGTTCTATTAAATGCCACGTTTACACATTTCCAGCGATCTTGATGCAACAATATGTTCAATTTTGGATGTTGTCCGGTTCTCGCGATAAACTACCGCACGACTTTTTTCGTTATGTGTAATTGTCTCAATGAACATATGTTACATGTGAAAACAAAGAGTGAGCTTGGGCAGAAATTCATTCCAAAGTAACAATATGGTGTGGTAGGCCAATACACATCAGGTCAAAGGTCGGTCGCAGCTAAATATTGGTAGTAAATCAAGATACTATTGCTATGTATTTACTATGTATTCACCTTATGAGTTGGAAAATCTAAAATGTCTAGTAGATTTTATAATATATATTGTATAATGAATGTAGTGTTTCCCTTTTTCTTGCATCCACAGATCCAATTTAGAGAGAAAGTACTATGGACAGCAATCACACTTTTTATTTTTTTAGTATGTTGCCAGGTATGTGTCCATTATTAATAAAAACAATTCTCAGTTTTCTGTGTAATTTTCTATCTAATCCTTTTTCTGTGAAATTGCTTTCTGTCGCGATGTTGTGGTGTTCACTAACTATACTGCATTCTTATTTCCCAATAGATACCTTTGTTTGGTATCATGTCATCAGATTCAGCAGATCCCTTCTACTGGATGAGAGTTATCATGGCTTCAAATAGGGGTATGTAAAATCTAGTTTCTTAATTTGTATCGTGGACATGTTTGCTTCAACCCAGTACAGTTTACCGACATTGACTTGATGTTCACTGCAAAGTTTTGTTTTAAAATCAGTTTTCAATCCATCTTTACTTGGTAAAAAAAAGTAGATGGAAGGTTACTGATGTACTTGTTCTTTTGGCACTCTAATATTGAAGGTCTAAGGAATGTTAATTTTGATAACTATAGTATGGTCCAACATGCCCAGCAGATGCCAGCAATTAAAAAATTTATTAATATAAAAAACAAAATAAACTAAACCTACATACCTGTTTCCAATGTTACCTTGGAATGACAATTTGCTTTGGCTATTTTAATATATATTAACTTGTAGTGATCACATTCAAGCAATGTCTGTTCAGTCACCAAGTGTTTTTGTGTATTTTATCAATTCTTTATTCTTGTATGAAAAAATAAAACTCCCAATAAAATGAAATTTGATTTTATGATTTATGTAACACACTATTTTTGTTCACTCAGGTACATTGATGGAATTGGGTATTTCCCCAGTTGTCACATCGGGTCTCATCATGCAACTTTTGGCGGGTGCTAAAATTATTGAAGTTGGTGACTCTCCAAAAGACAGAGCTCTTTTCAACGGTGCACAGAAATGTGAGTATTTTGAACTATGTAAATAAAAAACCTCCACCACATCGCCATTCCAATATTGACTACATAGGCAGGGTTCTCCACGGTTTGAAAATTAAACAGGGCGCGCCAATGTGAAGTGGGCGTGGCACATTTG